ACAATATGATTTTTCAGTAGCTAAGAGCATAGTGGAAGTTGGTATTTAGTCCAAATTCTTATTAAAAAATTCACTAAATATGTACAAAAATTACATTCAAAACCCAGCTACAAACAATTAATATTGCTATCGTAAAATTTAAAATTTACTCCCTCCGTCTCATATTAATAGTCGTGGTTACTAAAATAGTTATCTCAAATTATTTGTCATTTTAGAAGTTCAAGATAAAATTGATTGTTTTTTTCTTTTTTACCCTTAGTAATAATTATTCTTGAAGATGAAGATAATACATAAATAGAATAAATATTCAGTGAAGAGAGATTATATCTTAAGACATAAATAAGGATAAAAATATTTTAATTTTTTTTTTAATTAATATTTTTAAAGAGCACGAAAAAGAGAAACACAACACATAATATGAGACAGGGTGAGCAGCTAGAAAGTTCAAATTGCGGCTCGCTCTGCTTCTGCACCAACGTTGTTTAACAAGCCATGAGCCTGTTGCTAGTTTGGAATAAATAACTCCCAGTAATCTCTTTTTTGATTTCATTTACTGGACTACAAATTTTTCAACTACTTTTATTATAAAATTAAAATCTAAAAGTTTGAAGAATTTAAGTTCACACCAAAAATAAAATTATTTGATTGTGACAAGTAGGGATGTACATGGATGTGGTTGGTTCGGTTTTTATCAAAATCAAACCAAATTAGTTTGGTTTTGTGGGATTTTTTTGTTACATGAATATTATTTCAATTTTACTTTATTAAAATTATAGATAAAGCTTTGATAAGTGAATATATGTTTAGTAAATATGGAAAAAAATGACAAACATATGATCTATTAAAATATTTTAATGGGAGAATTTTTTTAGTAACACATGTAGTTATTTTCTTAGTCGTCTAACAATAATTTTTCGTTAATTTACGCTTTCAAAGTTAATACATGAGAGGATCCCAAATATTTTTCCATTTTCTAAAGAAAAATCACAATAAAGTCTTAAAAATATAAATAAAATTTATATATTTATATGTCGGTTTGGTTCGGGTTTTTTTACTCAATACCAAACCAAGTCAAACCAAATCTAGTTAGGTTTTTTAATCGGTTTAATTTGATTTTTCGATTTGGTGCGGTTTTCCAGTTCGATTTAATTACCCCTAATGACAAGTGTTTATTAGAAATGAGTTTACGTTCTATGCACACCATCGATTAAATTGACATGCACCAAAAGGTAACTCTTCCTAGCAATGACGTATAGTAACCTCAAACATCGAGTAATAACATGCTATAATCAATTAATTGCACAGGAAAAACACAATCAGTATATATAACCTTAAATTAATCAAGAAAAAACTGATTGCCAAGGAATTAAGTACTGTTTGTCGGACCTTTTGGTTGTACACATATGCTCCACTCATGTTCTATGGCTGATGAGAAAATAGTATCCAACTCAAATAAAACAAGTATACCTACTGCTTTGAACTAATCTCACTGGTTCCAGTTGTTATTATGAAACTAGTAGTACTAGTTTACTATTAATCACAACTTTATGAGGATTAGTTCGCAAAATATGTTCTTTTCAGCCAAAGGGTGGCAAAGCAATCAGATATTTCAGATAAGAACTAAATGATCTTTCAAATACCAAAACACTTGTTTTTTGGCATTTCTTTAAGGCATCTCGTGTTCACGCACGATCCAAAGGAAAGGCCGCATTTCAAAGAGTGTGATGTAATACAACCTATTTTAATACAAGTATTAGTGGCTGCTTTCAAGGTTCAAACTCGTGACCTATAGGTCACACAAAAACAACTTTACATGTGTGTAGGGATGTACAAAGGAAACCGACAAACCGCACCAACCCGATAATCCGAGTCAAACCGAGAAAAAAACCCGACTATGGTTTGGTTTAATTTGGTTTGGTGTTGAAAAAAAAACCTGACCATAATTGGTTTGGTTTGGTTTTAACTAAAGAAAGTCAAACCGAAACCAAACCAACCCGATATTACATATATAGAAATTTTAGATATATTTAATATATAAATATACTTATTGTGATGTAATTTATAAATATTTCTTAAAAAATTTCATAAGTTTGTCTTTTAAGATATTATTTCAAGGTTGGACTTGCAACTTTTGAATATTCCAATAAGCTTTATAGCCATTAACATTAGTAAATTAAATAATGCTAACAAAAACCCAAACCAAAATCAAATTAATACTAATGATAACAAAAGACATTCAATTCAATACTACGAATGAGAATATATTGAATATCTATTTTTTGTTTTGCAATAATTTAGATAAAAATGCATAACCTGTTTTTATTTTTTCTTTAGCGTTTAGTCATGTAATTAATACTCCCTTATTAGTCTACTTATTTTAGCATGACTTAGTACTTTTAGAGTATGTTTATTTTTATTATGGCTTTTTAATTAGCAATATTTATATTACATAATTTTATTGTCTTTATTGTTGAAAATTTTAGGATAATGTCATGACACATCTCATATTTTGTATTATTTTCTTGGAAAGTACTTTATATAGTTGTATCTTACTAGGATTAAAGAAATATTTTGAGCACAATTTATATGTTTTGTGCTACGAAGATTTTTCTACGAAGATTTTACCGAAAAAACCCAAATAACCCGAAAACCCGAGAAAATCCAAGAAAAACCGAGAGTGAAAAATCCGAGTTTTATTAGTTTGGTTTGGTCTTTAGATTTAATAACCCGACACAATTGGTTTGATTTGGTAATTGTAAAATCCGAACCAACCCGGCCTGTGTACACCCCTACCTGCGTGCATAATTTGCCTGGTCTTAGAATATTCAGTAAACATTGCACAGGGCGCTCTATTTGGTCGCCCCCATTCAACATATACCCATTTTTAAAAAAACTTTTAACTTGTACTCACTTTTTAATAAAATCAACCCCCTTTCTCCTCCTCCTTCTCCTCTTTCGTCTTCTTCTTCAAGTTACAAAACAAACTGGTATTTATCTCCAGAAGCAACGTTGCTTTAGTTATAAGGTCAATTTTTTTAATTGAACAGTTCGAGAGTTGTACTTCTGCTCCAAATTTACAGCAAATTAGCCTTAGGAAAAAGTTTAAGTTACCAGTAGGATGAGCTGTAAAATTTTGGAGTTTTTGTATGTTTATTCGTGTTTGAGTTGAGAAGATGTACACTATTTTTCTTAAAAAATCACTGCTAATTGTGGTGCGCTCTGGAGCTGAAGTTCGCCAGTTACAAACAAAAACTTCAGCTCTAGAGCTGAAGTTCGACAGTTACAAAAACAAAAACTTCACCTCTAGAGCTGAAGTTCGTCAGTTACAAAACAAAAAACTTCAGCTCTAGAGCTGAAGTTCGCCAGTTACAAACAAAAACTTCAGCTCTAGAGCTGAAGTTCGACAGTTACAAAAACAAAAACTTCACCTCTAGAGCTGAAGTTCGTCAGTTACAAAACAAAAAACTTCAGCTCTAGAGCTGAAGTTCGCCAGTTACAAAAACAAAATCTTCAGATCTAGAGCTGAAGTTCGCCAGTTAAAAAACAAATAATTCAGCTCTAGAGCTGAATTTCAGGCCCGGCTACTAGAATGCTGAAGTTTTGCGTGATTGTCTATGCTACTTCAGCCCCGATTTTTTTTGCAAAGCGGGCACAAGTTAAAACGTGACACAGAAAACGGGTATAGATATAAATACCCCGAATATTCAGTTTAGCTGCCTCTCTGTATTGGGGCCCCAGCTGATGACCAAACAGAAAAAAGAATTTTAGAGGATTAATATGGGCAAAAGCGACACTCACAAGTAATTATTCTTGTTATCCTATCACAACTTTTCAGGTTATGGCTCTTCCAACTTGACAATGGATAACGCCCGCAATTTTCATCACCAAGGAACAAATGGTTTAATGCTACATTTTTGGGACTCTTCAAAAATGTTATTGGGTGCGTGTCAAATTCTCTAAAAGTAGTGTATTTTTTGAAGAATCGGACACAGACATAACAGCATTTTAAAGAGTTCGAGCAACATAAGTTTAAATTAAGGTAAGATACAGGTAAAAGTGCATATTACTCTGCACTTTAAGTTTCAACTCCCTAGTTATAAACTTGACTTAGTAACACCATGCATGGACAAATAGGAATAGAAAAACTCATTCCCGTAACATGAAGTAGCTCAAGAGAATCCCTAACGAGGGACTCGGGAGAGAAAATCGATCATATTAAAGAAATGTGAATTCAGAATTAAAGGCAATTAAAGGAAGAGATGAGTGGTCCAGGAACAACAACAACAACAAGAGAGGGCTCGTAGCTCCCCCTCC